GCACAGCGCCCCACGGCACATCGCCCCACGGCACCGCACGCCCGCCCCACAGCACGACGCCCCATGGCACCGCGCGCCCCATGGCACGACGCCCCAACCAGCCCATTCCCGGCACCGGGAGCAGCGGTGGCTCTGCCGCCCTCCCAGGGGGCTGCTCCAGTGCTCTCCAACCTGCACTGCTCTTCCCGGGCTCCCAGCACAAGCCTTACCCTTGCAGTTCAAGCCCATTACTAGGCACAAGGACATGTGGAACTGCTTATCTTCCTTCTTGTAGCCCATTTTAAAAGCATTTTGCATCCTGTTTCTCTTTGGATTTTTCATCTGTGGACTAATCAATGTCCTCTCACTTCAGTCTCTCCTCACTGATCCCATTTCTTACACACAGGATTTCTGTTGCTATCCCACAGACTCTCCCTTTGGGTCCTTTCAGATGCAGGCTCCAGAATGGGACTTCACTATTCATAAGACCCATCTGATACTCTTCTTTCTATCTCCTAGAAAGTTGCTCACTGGTTTAGGGATGTGGTTCAGGATCACTAGATTCTCCAGAACTTTTTATGTATTTTCTTCTATATTTACATAATAATGAATTATTGCTGAAAGTCTCTGTTGAAAGGCCAGCATAGAAATGTCTCCAGTGGATTAACATTGGCTCTTCATCTGCTTCAGCAATTAATCAGCTAGCTTAGCTGTGGCTAACCATGACCTGAATATAGTCCTTTCTGATTCCTTCCTGAACTGTATCCAGTGTATTCAGATTATTTCTTCAAATTGTTTTGCATTCTAATCTGTTTAAATGATTCAGAATTAGTAAGTGTGTCTTCTATCATCCAAGATGTTAATGAATATACTAAATAGTAGGGGAAATTGCTGTAGAATACCATTTGACATGTTCCTCTATTTAGACTGTGAACTATTTCTGGTTTCTTAGGTGACTCTCACCTGTACTTACGTTCCTTTTTTATGTTAGTCCCATTTAGACCAAACTTCTCTGGCTTACATATGAGAAAGGCATGTGAGATAATGTCAAAACATGCTTAAAATCAAGCTTCATGGCATTCTTTATTCTTATAATAGAAATCTCTAGTCTCTCCATAAATGGACATTAAGTTGGTGTGACATCATCTGTTCTTGATGATTCCATTCTGGCTATTCTTTGCCTCTTTGTTATCTTCAAAATGCATTTATATAGATAGTTTGATTACTTTTTCAGATTGGTTTATAATTTCCTGGTTCCTGTTTTCCCTCTCTTTTATATTTTAAAAAATATGCTCTTCCTTGTCCAGTTTCCTGGAGACTAATATTGTGTATTTCAAACTGTTTGGGAATATTGATTTTATCCAAATATTCTCAAATCTGTTCTACAAGTTGGTAACTGGAGTTTCTGTTCTCTTGATGCTGCAGATTTTTGCCTTTGTCATCTAATTGATAAATACCCATTCTTTTTTTAGTGAAGATGATTTAAAAAGGCATTAAATACTATGGCCATCTCAGTAGCACCCGTATTTCTCCTGTATATGGAACACAGAGAGCACTTTCCATTCCCTTCTCCTAGCCACATAAGTTCTTATAAAATCTGTTTTTCACGATCTTATACATGCTGTACGATGGAGTTTCCAGTTTTGCTCTGGCTAAAAATTTCCTAAGTTGTTCTCTAGCTTTATGACACCAGGGACTAAGCTTGTATTTGTGTTCCTGAGGTCACCTGCCCCAGTGCTGGCTTGCCTGGCCCAGCGGGAGGTGCCTGACGGTTTCTAAAGCCATGGGCAAGGTGGCACAAGGCTTTAGGAAGTCTTCCCTTGCAAGCCCAGTTGCAACAACCTGCAAAGTGGAATTTCCCAACCCCACACCACAACTAGGGTGAGAAACTGCAGAGCCCTGGGACTCTGGGAAATCGAGGCCTCCTGGTTGGCTTGGGTAGAATGAGTTTGGGGATCTTCAAAACTTGCTCAGTCTTACAGCTCATCCCAGAGCACCAGCCTTCAACAGAAAGCACTTGCTAATGCTACAATATGGAGCTGTCTCAGAGCAGATTTCAAAGGCGACACAATATGCTAAGACAGGATCGGATCCACCACTGCCATAAAGTAGGTATCACCTTTCCCATGAGTTTTCAGAACACCTTAGGCATCAAAGGTCAAAGGAAACTGGGAAGGAGACTGTTTATCAGTGGTGACACTGAACTGTCAACAGCTCCATGAACATGGTTCCTTTTCTGAAGAAATTTTGTCCAAGAACCGTTATACTTCTGGTATAATGGTACTTCTGGAAAAAAAAATGTCATTTAGGAACTCAGCTCAGAGTTAAATAAATCCTTTAACAACATGGAATTGCACAGGGGCTGCTGCTCTTTGTACTTATTGATGATCCAGTCAGGTCATATTCTCTGCATTTGTGCTTTGCAGACTGAAGATTATCTCAAGCACAAGATCAGAAGCAGGCCTGAGCGATCAGACCTCGTCAATATGCACATTTTACAAGGTAAGATTGCCAGAGCTCCTCCCACGATGCTCCTTGTGTCTTCTACCTTATGTTTCAAGATTCTCGAGCCCCAGATGGGTTCCCTTCAGGATGGGTTCTCATCATGATTAACTTTGCCCCAGCTGCTCATGACAGGCAGAGTCCAGGGGGTCAGATGTGTCTTGGTACCTCATCCAGAACTGGTCTTTAGAAGGCAGACACACAGAGAGACCCTGGCAGGAACAGACCAGGCCCTGTGATCCATGTCCCATCTCTGGCAAGGACCATTTTAAGATGCTGTAGGGGACAGTGGGATAAAGGGCAGCTGGGAAAGAGAGTGTGTTAGGCAAATGTGCAAGGGTCTGATTCTCAAATCCTTGGCACTGACTGCCATGCATGGGTAGATCCCTGTAGCGAGGGATACCCTTCAATACCCTTCCAAAACTGCTTTTGTTTTGTTTTGGTTTTGCTTTTGCCCTAATTAATTACATTCTCTGCGCCATTCTGTGGTGATACCCTCAATGACCCAAGCGTGGCCACGTGGACACGGTGAGCTCTGCTCTCAGTCCGTAGCCAGGGCAGCTCTGCTCTCCCGGCCTGGCGTCCCCTCCCTGCCACCAAATCAGCACCGCTCTGTCACAGACAGCAGAACTCTGCGGCTGTCCCTTGTTATCACCAGAGATAAGGAGCTCCTGAGAGACAGGAGAGGATGTTCTGCATCTCTCCTGGAGTCCTGCGAGTCCCCTGGAAGAAGCAGATGTCTCTGGTGACTGTAAATGCTCTCTCCATATGGATAAGGTCCACATATCCTTTTCTTCTGCAGTGCAAGAGGGGCCCATTGCCTGCCTTCTCCCTTGTCTCACTATCACTAAAATAAGCCAGCATCATTTTCCATTTAACAGATGGAAAGTGGGTCTTTTTTTTTCCCTGAGATTAAATAACAGAACCAATATAGACTGGAGTTGAGGCCCAGGGAGTGTGCAGCAGATGTGGAGGCAGCTGCGGTTATTGGCCTTTGCCATGGCCAGTGAGACACAGCTAAAGGAGGCGGTGGGGCACAGATGATGCACGTTGCTGCAAAGCCTTCAGCGGGTCTCCGTGCTGCCCCACACACTCTCCTTGGCCTGGTCGCTGCTCACACGTCTCTGTACTGTGCTCTGTCTCACATGGAGGTGCACCCTGGAATAGCGTAGACCTCAGCATCCATCTGGTTCATAACAGCAGTTAGACATAACTAAAACTGGCTAGCTGAGGCACTTTCCATCATCTAAATATCTTCCAGACACACCTTCTGTCACTGTTCCTGCCAAGGACCTCGTGCGGGTTCACTGTCCGATAGGGTCGGAGCTCCGAAGGGGATCCAGATCCTACCTCCTGCAGAGTATCTGTTCCTGGTATCAATCCCAGCAGCTTGTGCCTGCCTACAGTGTCTCTCCCAGAAGGCTGTCCAGTCTTTGGAGACAGGACAGCCTTGATGCAGCTCTCCTTACTTTAGACCCCCAAGAGTATATGGAGCTGGTCTAGTCTAGGATCCTCCTCCACCCCTGCACAAGAAAGTGTCACCAGAGGTGTCACACACCTTCGACTGAGAAATCCCCACTGTCTGTAGCACCTGGGCACTGTTCTGTCACCGCTGAATAACCAACATTTCTCATTTGGGTTTGTCTGGCTGCAGCTTCCAGATCTAGCTGCCTTTGTTATGCTTTTCTTCACCTGCTCATTTTTTCTCCGAAGGGTGCTGGAACAGTGTAATCCCTCTGCTTCCCAAATGTTCCACTCCTGAAGACTGAGCTTTCTGTCTTTCACTGAATTTACTCACGTTGTCAAACACTATTAACGGTTCTTTTCTCCAATGTTTGGTTCCCCAGAAGTAGGCATCCATTTATGTAAGCCCACTAGGCCGATGGTCTCCTGACAGGCTGGAGCTGAAATCCCTTTCAGCTCTCCTGTTAGTCACAGCTTCTTAATGAAGTTTCCACTGCAGATCCTTAGTGAGGCTTGGGAAGGATGCTCTCGCTGCAGGCCAAGTTTGCAAGATCAGGCTATAGAACTTACTTAGGAATGGAGAAGGTTGCCCTAAGGCTCAGAGAAGGGTCCCGAAGCCCCATCCAGTCCAGTGTCTGCAGGACCTCTCCAGCTATTCTTGGGTTTCAGCTGTATTCCAGAAAGGCTGTTCTCTTCAAGAACTGTGTTTACAGATACCCCCTGTCCTGAACTGATGCTTTCCATTTGGCCTTCTAGACTCAGCAGCAGAGGGGTCCATTCAATCTACTCAAATGAAGCTGAAAAGAGCCCGACTGGCAGATGATCTCAATGAAAAGATTGCCCTCAGGCCAGGTCCTTTGGAGCTGGTGGAGAAGAATATTATTCCTGTCGACTCAGCTGTGAAAGAGGCCATAAAAGGTAGCGGAAGTAAATGTGTGTTTTGTGCTGTGAGAGGTCACAGCACAGGGCACGGGCTGGCGAGGTTCACAGGATGCCTAGCAGAGACTGCAGGAAGTGGCCAATAGAGCATTAAGAGCAGCATTTACACATTACTTAGATTGTATTATTTTATTTTATTAGCGAGCATCCCCCTCCAGCAAACCTATGTTATCTTATCCGGGTCTATGAAAAGGGAGGTCTCATCTTCTCAGAGCAATGACCATGGACACATGCAGGATTTTTCAGCCACATCTCATGTCTTCTTTCTTACATCCTTCCCTCCCCAAGTTTTGGGCACACAAACAGTATTGTTGGAGAAACGTCATTCCCTCCAGTATGTCGCATGGGGAGAAGCCTTGGATGCCCATGTGTGGTTGTTGGATTCTCCAGCTTGTGCCCTGCCAATCATTTAGTTTGTTTAGCTCATTTTTCAACAGCTCTCTGCCAGTTTATGGAGGGAGGCAGAACCTCCTGCAGTTATTTCCTCCTTGCTGATGCAGGGAGGTCAGTGCAGGAGTTGACACAAAGCAAAAAGCTGATTCAGATGCCCCAAGGGCCCAGTGCTGAGATAGGGAGACCCAAAAGCAGAGAGAGGAGTGAAAAGCCAGCAGGATCCTGCAGTGTCAGCCCAGCAGCCCATGTTTTTGAAGCCTGAGGCCAACTGAGCATGTTCAAATCAGCTCTTGGTATTTAAGTCAAGCACTGAGAACTGCTCTGCTCCCAAGCTCCTCATTCAGTTGCTCCTGGTTCTTAACCTCACTCAATTATTTCCACGGGCATAATTAGGCACTGGGTGTCCACTTGGGACTCCAAACACGCTAAGGATAGTGTCAGGGCTCTGGAACAAGGGGTGCTCTTTGAACAATGATGTAGAAAATGGGAATTGGAACAGGAAGCACTTTGGTTTGCATTTCATCTCAGAAATGAGTGAGATATCCCAGGCTCAGATACCCCTCTTTCTTGTCCCGCAATTGTTCCTGCTCTTCATTTTCCTGCTGCAAAGTGCACGCAGAGTACATACAGCAGTTTCTTTAGTCTGGTTCTTGAGCCACTCCGTGCTCACTGTTTTGCAGCTCTTGTCTTTGAAGGTGAAATGTTCCAGGGCTCGGCCTGAAGAGGAATTTTTAAGGAGAGTTCAAGCAAAATCTCCTCAGCCACTTACTGAAGGAGAAAAGAGTGAAAAAAACATTTTAAAATCCCCTCTTTATAAACATTTGAGGCAGTTTGAGCAAGACTTTATCCACTGCAGCTGAAGCTTGGAGGCTGGGCAAGCATGTTTGAAGCTTGAACAGAGTTTCTGTCCAGCTGTCTTGTCAGGAGCTTGTGATAAATAGAGATTTACAGGACAAAATCATTAAAAACAAAAAGTCTGGCTTAAAGGGATTTGCTCAATTTTGAAATTTCCCTCTTTCACAATGGCCTTCTAGTACATTGCTAGAGAAAAATGTGTCCTATAAGCCCATTTTATCCCATTTGGGGTGAAAATATCAGGGTGAAGCTATTTTGTACTGCTGGGTGCCACGAGGAATGCACCTGTACCAGGAGTACAATCTCAGACCTCAGGTTTCTGCACTAGAAAGTCTCAAGCTGACGGGTCCTTGAGTTGTTTTTTGAGCGAGAGGCATTTTGTGGCAGTCACCGTTTGGGGCGGCCAGTTGAACACTGAGCAGAGATGAGCACTGGCACTTCTGAACTTTAAGCCTTTTGTTTTTGCAATACCAGAAGGATGACAGGGTTTAAAATCATTTTACTTTAACTTTGGAATCTCAGCTGTTTATACAGTGGAAAATTCAGTTGACGTGTTCCTCTAATCACCTCCGGCAGGGTGAGCAGAAAGCGCCAGACCCCAACCGAAAGCCCTAACGTCCCAATGACAGGAGGCCGCCAGTGCCCTGCATAGCTGAGCCGTGATATAAGAACCCTTTTTTACCAGGTCCTTGTCATCACTTTGTCCAAGATGCTTGAAAGGACAATACCCAGTGCATTAGAAACAGCCCCAAGCAAACACCGCTCTGCCTAAGATTACAGCAGAGACGTCGGATCATGAAACAATACGGTCAGCCCCAGGCTGGACGAGAGCAGGACAGATAAGGCCAGCATTCCCCACGCCACACAGGTCTCTGGTATCAAGAATCAGGATGCAGCACATTCCTGAAGTGCTCTGGGCTGCCACTGTGTCCTGACGGTCCCTCTGGCTCTCTACTTTTGTGTGTCTTCTCTCTCATCACATTCCTCTTAAATGCCCGTTCACTGGACCTGGACTCTCATGGTGGCAGAGTGAGAAATCAGCACAGATTATCCAGAGATGAGGCAGAGCTGAAATGCCAAAGGCTGCAAATTGGCACTGTGCTTCCTAAAGCTCCTCCGTGCTGGATAACACCCTCTTCTGTCCTTGGGAACCTTGCAGGCCCTCAAGTCCTCCTTGCCCGGTGTGATTATACCTGAGAGAGGATGCCCTCACTTTTCTTCGGATATGGGAGAAGCGAACTTCTATCAGCAGGGAGACCAATCCCAGCTTTACACATCCTCAGGGAAAACCTGGCTTACATACGAAACATACGAGTCTTACATACAAAAACAACTGTAGCAGAGAGGAGGCAGCCCCTATAGCTCAGCAACTCCAAGAAACCTCAGACCCTGGCATCTAGAAGGACTGAGCATCTCTACAGGACAGTTACTCTCAAATCCTTATGTTTGTATTCCCTCAGAGCTGCCATGGGGACAGCGTTATTAGGCCACTTGTGTTTCCCTACCCAGCAGACGGAGCAGGTACTCCTGAGCACCAGGGTTCCTGTGGAGACTGGTGATGGGCAGGCACTGGTGACACCTGCAGAGCTCAGGACAGGCATGGCCAAGAGGGATGCAAAGCCAAGCCGTGCTTGGATATCAGTAACTGTTGGCTCTCTAGGATCTCTTCACAACCCAATCCTATCAGATGTGAGCTTCCCATCCATCTACCAGGGTTCCAGCTGAAGGTGGCTGGGTAGCAGTTCACAGACTGGGCATGGGGAGGGGAGCCAGGGCTTCCTGCGTCCTCGGTGCCACCCTGGCACTGCAATCGAGATAACCTTTATCTCTCAGATAGGCACAGAGGTCAGAGCGTAAGGGTACGTGTCAGTGAGAAGGTGCACATTGCTAGGCCAGCAGGGCGAATGGGTGGAAACATGTCCCCAGGCCCTTCCTATTTCCCTGTTTGTCACCTCCCTATCAGAGTGCCAACTTGCCTGACAAAGGCCAGATGTGAGCATGAGGAGATTATGAGCACAGTGACATTACTCCTTCCTCCACCCCCACCTGTAGCCTCCCCCAAAGCTCCCATGAGCTTTTCTTTTTCAGCACTTTATTTATCAGTACATGCTAGGGGTCAAGAGCTCTTGGCAGATACGGTGCCGGGAGCCTTGCACAGAGGAGCAGCAGTGCCGGCAGCAAGCCCTATTGGCAGTTAGGCAGTCATGGTAGTGATTCCAAACATTTCATAGGGGTGGAGCTTGTTGACAGACACAGGATCTGCAGGCCTCTATTTAACTGCAGCCAGGTCCACCCATGCAGCCAGGTCCACCCAAGCATTGGCTTCTCTGCCATGAAAGGATGGGTCACTCTCCACATGGATTTCAACCTCAGTTGAAAGGGATAAGTCAGGGCCTCATGAGGACAGGGTCCCACGTGCTAAGGACAGGATCCCATGAGCCTCAGAACCCTCTTTTCTCCATTTTCTAAGTTAAACTGTCCAGAGTGAGGGCCTGGAGGTGACGCCTCCTCCTCTTCTCTCCCACTGGTTTTGCTCATTTACCCATGGGGGCATACCATGTAATGTCCCTTCCCCGTCACACCCTGCTGATGCCATCCACTATGCATGGTCTGGCTTGGGCTGAGGCATTTGGACTCTCATGGACACATGAGAAGCAGAACTGGTCCTCAGGGCCTACCCCACAGGTAGAAGGCACTCTCCATGCTGCCATCTGATCACCTCAGCCCTCTCGTTGGGGACAGGCCAACTCCCAGTGGGTTTGTTCCTCACAGTGAGTCCCTAGGTCCCCTTGGTTGGGGTAGCTGAGCTCTGCGGCCAGCAGGAAGGGACAAGCAGACACTGGCATGCCCTGGGGAATGCTGGCAGACAGGTACAGCCCGGGCTACATCTGACAGGTCTCCATCACCTCTGTCTTGCCTGTTCAGGTACGCAGGTGAACTTCTCCAAGTCATCCGATGCATTTGCATTCGAGGAGGACAGCAGCAATGATGGCCTGTCCCCGGAGCAGGCCAGGAGCGAGGACTCCCAGGGCTCCACGGAATCATCAGCAGGCGCTAAGCCCTCGGAGCCAGCTTCCTCTGCACCCTCGGGGACATCCCAGGTAGATAAAGTCACCCTGCCAAGGAATGGCAGCTCTCAGGTGCCTTGGTGAGACTCGTTTTGTCTGCTCCATGGAGCAATGGCAGGCAAGGAGGCAGGAGTCCCTACCCAAGCAAACTCACAAGCCTCGTTGGGGCCTCAGTGCCTCCATCTCCATGGCAGCCCTTCCTGGACGTGTGCTCCACCTGGGGGCTTAGAGGGGCCCTTCACGTCCCAGGGGCCAGGAGGAGATGCACTTTTCCCCCTCCACCACCACCCAGGCAAGTTTATACCCTCAGAAAGGGCGAGTGCAGCCCAAGCGTCATTGGGATGAAGAGAGACCAAACGCTGTGGCAGACGCCCTTGGCGCTGGGGCTCCCTGCCCAGCACCTGTAACCAGCAGCACCTCCGTCCAGCAGGCAGGTGCCTAAGCCACTTTTACCCAGTTTTGACCTATTTCCCGAGCAGCAGCAGCTGTGGCAGGCGCTGCTGTGAGTTCCTGTCAGGACCTGCTTTGCCGCCAGG